AAAGCTGGCTTAAAACTAATGCGCGCACTGTCCGATTTTGGATAGAGTTTTGAGCTAGAGTCTCTTTGCAGATGTGCAGGATGGAGCCCAAGACTGATCATTTACCCAAAAAGAAAGCTTTTCTTAATGGAGGAAGGGGATAGTCGCCTCCCGCCTGTAGCAAAATCTTAAAGAATGTGGTCAATTTACGTCTGAAAAGACCAGGTAGGCCAGAACCTGTTTTGCAAGGCTCAAATGTGGTTTTCCAGAGCCGCTTGAAAGTAAAAAGTAAAGTTTACTCTAATTTGCCTCATGGAAAATCTAGAGGACAGAATTAGATGTGTTGGTTGGGTATGTCTTGCGTTTTTGAAGTTTATTCTTAAAGATGTTACTGATTGAGCATACTGGGCTTAGAGGGCACATTTTTCCTTTGCCTGGGAGGGACAGCGCAGCTGTCCCAGGGTCGGAGGGCTCCAGTTCAGTGTTCTGGAGACCCAGGACATGCCTAAGTTTAACCTATGTTACCCAAGGACTCTAGATAATGTGTTTACCCAAAGCTGTGGTTTAGATTGCATGCTGTCTCTGCTTCTGTAAATTGATCTGTCTGAACATTCAACATTAAAATATTCAAACAAACCTGGCTAGTATTGTTCAGTGGTTAAAAGTCAACCTATGAACCAGGAGGTCAGGGTTCAATTCCCAGTCAGGACACATGCCCAGGTTTCGGGCTTAATCCCCAACAGGGGGCTTTCAGGAGGCAGCCAATCAATGATTCTCTCTCATCATTAATGTTTCTATCCCTCTCTTCCTCTCCATTCCCCTCTCAGAAGTCAATTAAAACATATTTAAAAATATATATATTCAGACAAAGAAATAGGGAAATGAGTTCAATGGTGTAGGCTGTACCTCTAAACTTCACTGAAATGCCACAACCAAGTCTAACATGAAACGCATCCATTCAAACAGCTCCTCAGCTGATGCCACAGAGATGACCACAGATACTTACTTCTTCATCTTCCTTAAACACGTTCTCTGCACTGACCCCTGGGAGCCCGGGAGACCTCCTCTCCTCCAGAACCGTAGGCAGGAAGTGATGCCTCAAAGAACACTGATGCTTCAGTGTTGCCCAGAACACGTGTAATAAGTCATAATTGTACGTACTTTATTTTCCATGTGCTTCGTACTTACTATTCTTTTTTTCCCACATTTCTTCCTGCACACTTTTCAAATAACCTTTGCATGCTCTCATGAACACGGGGGTAGAGGCCAGTTAGCATTCTACAGACCATCCAGGGCCCCATATCATAATTGGATAAGGTTATTCCCTTCAACATGCAGCAAGCTACTAAGGTTCCTGAGTCAACAAGTTTAAATGAAAAAGAATAACAATGATCTCAAACAGAGTGCCAGAACCTCAGGGCATCAGCTCGCCCACCGGGAGTCAAGGACCCAGGCTCCCTCCTTTTGCTCTGTCACCCTCAAGTTAGCTCCCCTCGAGCATCACATGCAAACAGGACAGTGACTGCCAGCAACAAAAGAGATGCCTCTCATCCTTACAACTCTGTGAGGACTCGGAATCCTTTCCCAGGGCCACCAAGAGGCCCCCACTAGTGTCTCATTGGCCAGGCCTGGGTCACATGCTGCTGCTAAAAGCAATTGCTTGCAAGGGGATGGGTCAGCATGACTGGTTTATCGTAATTTTTAAATATTTTTTATTGACTTTAGAGAGAGGAAGGGGGAGAGAGAGATAGAAACATTGATGAGAGAGGGAATCATTGATCAGCTGCCTTCTGCATGCCTCCCACTGGGGATTGAGCCCACAACCCGGGCATGTGGCCTGACCAGGAATTGAACTGGTGACTTTAATACTCAAGTATTGAGCCACACCTGCTGGGCTAAGTCAATCATAATTTAACCCCTGAGTTGGGACACCATCTCTGAGGGGTGGGTACTGGACAAAACCAGAATTCTGCTCATCAGGCGGAAAAGGAGCATGGTGTTGGGTAAGTAATCAATAGTGTGGGTTCTGATGTCTTTTAGAGTATATTTGTTTTTAAGTGATTTATTTTTTGAGCCAGTTATTATACAGCTGAGAAACCAAGTTTGCTTGGAACTTCTCTGGCTTCTTTCACATCCTTGTCCACCCACTTGCCAGTCTCCTCCTCTTCCAACTGCAAAGATTTTACTGGCCAAACTTTTTAGGACTTGGGGTTTTGCACATGCAATTCCTCAGCTTAAAAGTTCTGTCCACACAGCCAGTTTATCTGCCACATTGTTCAGGTCTCAGTGAGGTCCCTTTCTCAGGGAGACTTCTCTGACCCTATGGCCAAGGTGTCTGGGACTGGCCAATTGGTGAGTGTTTAGGAAGTTTGCCAGTGGTTGTTAAACACAGCCATTATTAAAAATTAAATCCTATAAATTTTTCCAATTACATTACATTCAAAACAAAAGCAAAAATACTCAAAACTCATTATTCCTATTCTTTCTTTCTCCCTTCCCCTCTCTCTCTAAACACACAAACAAACAAATAATAAACATACCCTCAGATGAGGATTAAATAATAATAATAATAATAATAATAATAACCATCCTCTTTCCCACTTGGATACCCTCCTCACCCTCCCCCGGCTCTTACACTGATCTGCACCCCCCTCTCCTGGTAATAAACACCCTTTTGCCTCCCTCCGGTTCTGGGCTGCAGCTTCCCCCACCTCAGATTCCTGCCTCTTTGTTCAGCTAATACATTTAGAATTAAATTGTTCAGGAAGGGACAGGAACAGGAAGGAGGGGAAGGACGCCTTCTGTATTCTTTGGTTCTCCCTCCTTCTTCCTCTTTCCCATTCATCCTGACCTATCCTGACTCCTCCCACCCTTGCCAGTCTTCCCAAGCACTCAAGGCAGGATTGAATCTTGAGCAATGACATAAGCTCCTCTAGTTAGACTCTGAGGGTCTAGTTCCTGGTGTGGGACTTGCAAGCTGTGTGGTGTTTGGTAAGTTACTTTCTGTCTTCAAGCCTCAATGGCATAGTGTATAAACGGAATATCTTAATAATGCTACTTCATGGTGTTACCAGAATTAAATGAGGTAGGGCATGTAAGGCCTGTATTGCTTCCCACATGACAAGCACTAAATAAATTCTATCAATTACTATTTCCTTCCTCTCTGTGTTAGGTGGAAGTTGTTTTATCTCTTCCCACCCCCATCCCTGAATGCTTTCTTTTATCCCATTCTTTTTATGTTTTGGCTTCTCTAGACTATTTTACTTTCTTGCTCTTCATTTTTTAAAATATATTTATATTGATTTCAGAGAGAGGAAGGGAGAGGGAGAGAGATAGAAACATCAATGATAAGAGAGAATCATTGATTGGCTGCCTCCTGCACACCCCCTACTGGGGATCAAGCCCACAACCCAGGCATGTGCCCTTGACCAGAATCAAACCTATGACCTTTCAGTTCTCAGGCTGACACTCTAGCTACTAAGCTAAACCAGCTAGGGCATTTCTTGCTCTTCTTGACTCATTTTACTTCCCATTGGTTCATGTATAAGATGTGCTAATGGGACTGGCCAGTGTGGCTCAGGGATTGAGCATGGAACTATGAACTAGGAGGTCAGGTTTCAATTCCTAGTTAGGGAACATGCCCGGGTTGCGTGCAGGAGGCAGTCAATCAATGATTCTCTCTCATCATTGATGTATCTATCTCTCTCTCCTTCTCCCTTCCTCTCTGAAAGCAGTTAAAAAAAAAAAATAAGCTAAAGGGAGGCATCCATTGAGCTCCACCAGCAGAAGGTCTGTGGGGGATTCCCACACTCTCCATGCCCCGGCATATGCTTGTAGGATGTCAGGTAGCGGTGGTCTCTGCACCCCACGACCCTGGCAGGGACAGCAACGAGACATGCTCACTACTTACCTATTAGCTTCGGCTAGAGAGGAAATGTGTCTCTGAGAAAGGACGGAGGTGGAAATCTGCATGCAGGAGCTACTGCGTGCCACTTAAGGACTCTTCCTCTCACAGGCATGGAGTTTGTGAAGAGGGAAGGGGGATATTTTGAACATTTGAGCAGAATTACACTCTGAAGTCTTGTTCCCTTCTTGGAATTCTGTGATTTCTGATAGATGAAAGATAATATATAGCCATTGTTGTCTGTTGAAGCAGTTGCCAGAGAGAGAGCAGATGAATGACTGTCATTGATTAGATCAATATCCACTATTTACCTCCCAACCAAGAGATAAACCTTGGTGATGGATGAATGATCAGGAGGAAGTGTTCTCAGTTTAGTATAGTTTCCATACCCTTCGAAGAAGAAGAAGAAGAAGAAGAAGAAGAAGAAGAAGAAGAAGGAGAGGAAGGAGGAGGAGGTGGAGGAGGAGGAG